TTAGAAAACACTGCTAAAAACGAAACCCTCCAGTGGTCATTTACAGGGCACTCCATTCCAGGTTAGCTTCACTAGTTCCTAAATTCTTAGGCTGAGGTTGTTTAAATATATATCCTGCCTCATAAAAGATTGTATTTGGTCTTGAAAATACAATTGATGGGCCTACTTTGCATAGCTAAGGGAAACAGAAGGCCATAAACTCCAACAGTGGTGTGAAGAATAACTTTTTAAGTAATACTGTGATTAATAAAAACTATACATGTTTCTCCCAGTTTGGAGAGGGTGAACTTTTGTGCCTAATTCTATTGGTTTCTGATTAATACTCCCATATGCTTCCCTTTTGAGACATGTTTTTACTGTACATTTGATTTCCTCACAAATGCTTGCCTCCTACTTCCTCCTCTGCTACACAGGCTCTTAATCATTTATTTTGCCAATTTCCTATTTTCTGTTCCTTCCAGTGGTGACACACAATCTCTATGTTATCCTCCTGTCAGGAGGGTAAAAGTACAGACACTATTCTTTTCACAAAACCAAGAACAGAAGTGATTACAAAGGCTTTAGTCATCAATTTTCCCTGCTGACAGAAATGCAAAAATAAATCCTAGGACTTCCAAATACCACAAGGCAAAAGCATGCCCTGAACACACAGGCAAGGTCAGTTGGTTGATACCTACTTCCTTAATATTAACCTAATACAGACCATTTTGTGCTGTCTTCCTCTTTCGTAAATATACCTCATTGTAAATTTTTTTTCAGAGGAAAGGGTTTTTAGATGAAACAGTAGATAATTCCCAGGTCAATCAATTTTGCTTTGCATCTACAATCTCACTGCTGAATCTATAACGTTCAGAGCTCCTTACTATGGCAAAACAAAATAACATGAATATCCAAACCTTATTCATAGGCAAGGACCAATGGTTGCAAAAAGCAAAATCCACACAATGTAGTTTTTAAGAAGAGGAAGAAAGAAAAACAGTCTCAGTATAAAACTCAGCTGCAGAGTTTTGTCAGGCAGCTGCCCTCTCTGTCTCTATAAGGAACAATTCAGTTGCTATTAGCATAATCTAAGTGCTAAAGTGTGGAATCTGGGTTTAGAGTGTCTAGTCTCAAACATTATCTCCATTATTTACTAACTTTGAGAATTTTAGTGAGTCATTTAATGCCTCAGTGCCTTGATTGTTTTCTGTAAAAACAGAAGTAATAATGGTCCCTATCTCATGTGTATGGATTAAACAAGGTGACATATGTAAAGTGTTTAAGATAGTGCCTGGGGCAGTAGACAATCAATGTAAATCATTATTACAATTGCTTATTTGGAACATATGCTCCATTTTTCTCCTTGCCTAGCAGTTTCTTCCATTTGCACATGCCAACAGAGCCACCAGTTCAGAGTTAACAGTATTTCACAACTGTAGTGCCCATAACCTCTGGCATACTCAGCCCATATCACGTGAGGTACACATTGCTACCTTCACTGGGTCTGTGGGTAGGAACAGATTCTCTTAAAATCCGCCAGCAGGAAGTCACAGACCTGTCTTTCTGATGTGAATGTTTCCAATTTGTAGATTTATAAACATGTAAATAACATAAAGAATGCAAATTACATGTATCTTCCCTCTCAGGATAATATTAAAATAACATTATGAACAAGTGAAGCCAGCTGAGGAAAAATGTTCTGCTTCTAAGATGGTGAGGTCACTGTATGCCTGCAAACCTTTTAATTGAAACTGGATAGTCACATTTCGTGGATTCAGTAAAATTAATTCACTGCGTAAAATAATGGGCTAAATAACCTCTAAGATTCTTTGATTGCACAATTCAATTTTACACAGAGATTGTGTAATACAATGCATGATATTAAATTGAAATGAAGTCTTTAATGCAAATCAGGAATGTAAATTTCCATCTGTTTGAATCCTACAAATCCAAAAAGATATAGGCTATGTCTTGTAAATCAGATTAGGTAAAGACTAAATGTTCATTTGAATAGAAACTATTTGGTAAAATGTTCATGTTAAAGTGTGAAGTCACTCTGAAAGGTTAAATGCTCACATTAGATACATTTAACATTTAGGGCTATTAAAGTGATTGAGAAATAAAATAGAGCCATGGAAATTTTCTTTATAATCAGGTACTGCAAATGAGAAAATACAAGAGCAGAAAAATCACAAAATTATATCAACATTAAACATTACATAGAAAATGCAGCCAATTGCCAAGTAAAACATAATTTATATTATCAAAGATATCATTTATTATGCTAAAAATTTACTGAAAATAGATGATTTCAACAAAATTCAGGAAACAAAAATGATTTGCAGGCAAGGAGAAGGAGATGATAGTACTAGTGATCCCATTTTTCTTTGAATATTCTTGATTGTAATATCTCTGTGTATTTTATCACCAGAACAACTATTAGAAAGGGAAGATCACACACCTTAAGAGTGCAATTAATGAACAATTAAGACTACAAACAATGATGTATTTTAGACTTGGAAGGGAGCATTCTACTTTATAAGAATGAGTTTCCCATAATATTTATTTTAATTACAGTGGTGAGTGCAAAAATTGTGGAAGGAAAATTCCAGCTATTTAAGTAGAATTGGCAAACAGTCAAAATTTAGGAAACTTACTCTAGTGCTTTTTGAATATAGGTGATTTTTACTCATCTTTTTTTTTGACTCATTATTGAATTTAGGTCTCTCATGCTAGAAAGAATAAGAAATATAGAAACATAGATAGAAAAAGTATTAAATTTATAATAGTATAGCAATTTATGCTAGCCATGTGGTTTAATAAATATTTGAGTACATGGTATATGGGATAAAGCTTTAGAATGAGGTGAGAAAAATGATTTAGGGATGTGAATTATGTAGCAAATAAGCATATAAATGGTACTGATAAGCAATGCAGCAGTATAAGCTACAATTGTATGGCTCTAAAAAGAAGCATAATTTGAGTTAAAGATACCAGGAAGTGATTACAATATTCATTATTCCTGCAATATAAATGTCTTTGCTCCCTGTGAGAAAAAAAAAATCTTAATGAAAAAATTGAGTCACAGTTAGTTAACAATAGTAAAATATAGCTATATTTCAGTAATTAAAAGTTTTACCAGGAAGCGAGTTCAAAATTTTAAATTGCCTCTATGAGGTGGCAATGCACAGAAATAAGGAAAATCAAGATGTCAGTAAAACAAATGTTTTTTCTAATTATTATACTCAAAGGTTTGGGAAGAGACAGTGATTCTATCAATAATAAAACAACAATAGTAATTTCACATTTACTGCCTAAGGATGTTCAATTTAAATAATTTGAGTCTATTAGGCCAGACCTTAGGTCTCAAAAATTAATTCTCACATCAATACTTTCAATTATTATTTTGCTATTATTATATCCATATTAAAATTTCAATAAACCATATGATTCTTATGGTTATGATTTTATATGAAAACAAGCACAGAGCCTACTTCAATATGCATTGTAAATTACCTGAGATCATGTCACATGTTTAGAACTGTGAAAATAAAATCCAAATTTAAGTACTCTTCGAGTATGTACAGGGCATTATAAATAAATTTTTTCAAAATCCTAGTTTGTCTATAAAGACAAAGGTGTGTCCTTAAGGCAATGTTTCCTACATAGGCTTCCATAAAATACCAATGTCCTAAAATCCTCTACAAAAATGGCATCAATAATCAAATAAACTTGAAAATTTCTAAACCTAGCCATTGTCCAAATATAGGGTACAGATTGGAGCCTAGTGCCTCTCCAATATCAAGTAGCATTTTATGAGTATATTAATAACAATGAATGAGAAGGGTGCATATATTTAATTAGAACAAATCATTTTGCCTTTATAATTTTTACAAATGTTCTCCAATGTAGGTGATATATTCACATGACTAAAGACTCGCAGAATAGAGCAGAAATACAGGCTGATTAAATTTTTTTAATTTCCTATTTTGCAGAGAAATGAGGCTAACAATAATACTAAAAATACAGAAGTGATTTTGTTCTTATGCCACAATATTAACTCAAAATATTATTCACTGGAAAAATCTAGATTAATTATGTAATACAGTTAGCCAGCCACCTATCCAAATAATGCATTTATGCTATTACATATAACAATTAAAACCTATAAAACCTCACTGATCTTAAATAAATTCTAGGGCAGAATATGATTTTTAACTGGGTAATGATGCTAAAAAAATATGCTATTAAATGCTGTAGTAAAAATAAGTTCTAATAACCTTTTAAATAATGAATGGTGGGAAAAATGTGAAAATAAATTACATGTATCATAGTTCTCGTCATACAATGGGCTCACTTTGGAAATGAAATTCCTTTAATTTCCATGCTCTATGCTTTTTTCGAGAATAAAAGTGACCCAGTTCCCTTGCGTCATTCTGTAGAACATTCCTTATTTTTACCCTCACAATCAGCTGACTTGAAACACTTGAATAACTAAGGAATTGAGTCAAGCAAAGTCCTAACATAATGGGCCTATTTTTGCACAACTGAAAGCAAATAAGATAACTTAAAAATCAACTGCGTATATTTCTTTTCTTGTTTTTTTAAAAAAATCTAATTTATTTTTTTCATTAAAAGAGCTAAAATATTTAAGAAATTTAAAATAAATTTAGGAAAATGTAAGAATTCACAGAGAATAAATGCAAATTTAGGCATGTTTAATGGTCTACCCAGAATATTGCATGACAAATGATTTTTTATTGTTATTATTATACCATTCTCTTTACTTTTGATGAAAGTAAATGACAAAATGCTTGAATAAAAAGTAAAAGAAAAAATTTCCACAAAATGATGTTATTTAGGTACTATCAGGGCGCTTCCCACCTTCAGTAAATACTTTAATAAGCACCTTCCATTTTTTTGTTATATGCCAAGCAAAACGCTGTAAAATAAAATCCCTAGTCTATGTATTTATACCTAAAGGTTACAGGCCCAGGGTGGTAAAGCAACAAGCCAGTTACCTCAGGCATCATGCTGTTGGCGTGTCCTTTATGCTTTTCTTTGTCTGGCTGGCTTCTGGGAACTGTTAGGGTCCCATGGCTATTATCTGTAGTTTCCCCTTCCAGTGAAATTGAAGGGCATTACAGGGAACATTCACCAGGTCCTGGCCAGAGTAAATGCCAAGATCCAACAGAGTCAAGTCACGGAGCAGGAACCAGGCCAGGGTACAAGGTAAGATAACAAGCAGGTTCCAACAGACTCTTTTGGATTTCCTGGCACTTTGGGGTTCGCAAGGGTAAATTCGCATCTCTCACGAGTAAAGTGAAGTCCAGAAAATACTGTCAGCTACACAAGCATCTTTCTGATGTTTAGGACACTATTTCAGCCACAGGCCAACAGCAGGTTTCTGAGGCAATGGCAACAACATCCATGATACTCCAAGGGCATGGCCAGTCACCAAAGGGAAGAATGCCTGGTAACTTTGCTGGTATTACTATTGATGCAGCTGTGTTGCTAAACAGTGTGTTAGTTTCACAGATGCAGGAAACTCAGCATCTGAGTGTTTGCCTGTCTTGACACATAGGCCCCTCCATGTGCCTCTTTTTAATCTTATCAGAAAATTCCTCTTACAAGGGATTGTAAAAACACGAAAGGTAAGAGTCAATGTCAATTGAAGTAAGAGCAAGTTTTTACTAGTGATCACTGCCATGTCGGAAACAAAATTAAACTGAAAAATTAGTGAATGATGTGTGGTTTTTTTTTCTCTATTTTCAGATTTCTAGGAATTTGAGACACTTCTCATGGATGTAAAAAGGAGAGGCCTGTTGTCTTAGTCTGTTTGTGCTGCTATAAAAACCACAGAATGAGTAATTTATAAAGAATGCAAATTTATTTCTTATATTTATGGACTCTAGGAAGTCCTAGATCAAGGTGCAGGCAGATGCAGAATCTGGTGAGAGGCCCTGTCTTTCCTTCCAAGATGATGCTTTGTTGCTGTGTCCTGCAGAGTGGTAACACTGTGTCCTCCAGTGGCTGAAAGCAGAAGAGCAAGAGGCCCAAACACTGCATGGAGTCTCTTTTGCATAAGGGCCTGACCCTTCTTCATAAGGCAAGAACCCTCGCAGCCTAATCACCTCTTACTGCAATGGCCACTAAGCATCAACATGTAGATTTTGAAGAAGACACATTCAAATTACAGCAGCTGTACAGGCAAAGAATATATATTTTAAAATAAAGTTTGATTATGTATGAAATAAAGAATCATGGCACTTCTACCATATTATATTATTCTGATGCCTTTAATAACATAAATAACACATACAAAACACTTCTTTCGAAATCATTAATGATTTGATTACAAGAGATGGTCCTTTTCCAGAGCCAAAATAGTCCATGTAAAAATGTTTCTTGACCAGGCACAGTGGCTCATGCCTCCCAGCTCTTTGGGAGGCTGAGGTGGGCAGATCATCTGAGGATAGGAGTTAGAGACCAGCCTGGTCAACATGGCAAAACCCTGCCACCACTAAAAATACAAAAATTAGTACCCCAGTTACTCAGGAGGCTGAGGCACATGAAGGGGAGGTTGCAGTGAGTAGAGATAACGCCACTGCACTCCAGCCTGGGTGATAGAGTCTCTATCTCAAAAAAAAAAAAAAAAAAAAAAGTCCTTCAGTCCAATAGACTGTGAACACATGCCACATCATGACCTGAATGGACTTGCCCTTTGTATATCATATTTGTTTCATTCAGTAAGGGTTTTAACAGTATTATTGTTCATAATGTTAGCATGTTTTTCATCTTGAATCTCTAATTCTGCTTTTATGAAAGGAGCCACACTGATACAGAAATACCTCATTTATATAACTTTTTGTTTAAATTATTGGCCATAGACTCTTAGCTTTGGTAAATTGCAACTTAAATATTGTCTAAAGCACAGATGTTCTATGTTCTAGAGCAGACCATAAAATTTATCAAGTAACAATTAAGCATTTCCTGTTTTCCCCATCATCTCTCTCCTATAAATTACCATTCAGTGGGCAGTATGTATCTTCTACCTGATAGTTTTCCCATACTTCCTAGATTGGATATATTTTCAAAGTCAAGAAAGAGATGTTTTTATTGCCAATACATTGATCAGATTATCTTGTGAACTGTAAGTTTCATTCATACTGTAATATTAGATACTATAAAATGTTGCTGTACACTGAATACATATGTAGCCAAAAATCATATGTTATAACCTAACTCCCAACCTGATGGTATTTGGAGATTCAGCCTTTGGGAAGTGATATAATTTGGCTGTGTCCCCACCCAAATCTCATCTGGAATTGTAGTTCCATAATCCCCACATGTCATGGAAGGGACCCTGTGGGTGGTAACTGAATCATGGGGACAGGTACCCTCATGCTGTTCTTATGATAGTGAGTGAGTTCTCACAAGATCTGATGGTTTTATAAGGGGCATTTCCCCTTTTGCTCAGTACTTCTCCTTCCTGCCATCATGTGAAGAAGATGTATTTAATTCACCTTCCACCGTAATTGTAAGTTTCCTGAGGCTTCGTAGCAATGAGGAACTGTTAGTCAATTAAACCTCTATGCAGCCTTGGAACATGGTACCCCGCATCCCAGTTGCTTCAGCTCCAGCCATGGCTAAAAGGGGCCAAGTTACAGCTCAGCCCATTGCTTTCAATGGCACAAGGCGCAAGCCTTGGTGTCTTAAATGTGGTGTCTTACACGTGGCTGCACAAAAGTCAAGAATTGAGGCTTGGGAACCTCTGCCTAGATTTCAGAGACTGCATGGAAATGCCTAGATGTCGAGGCAGAAGTTTGCTGCAGGGGCGGACCCTCATGAAGAAACTCTGCTTAGGACACTGAGGAAGGGAAATGTGGGGATGAAACCTCCACACAGAGACCCCATTGGGGCACTGTCTGATGGAGCTGTGAGGAGAGGGCCACCATCCTCCAGACCTAGAATTGTAGATACACTGACAGCTTGCACCATGTACCTGGAAAAGCTGCAGACACTTAATGTCAGCCAGTGAAAGCAGCTGGGATGGGAGCTGTACTCTGCAGAGCCACAGGGACAGAGTTGCCCAAGGCTGTGGGTGCCCACCTTTTACATCAGCATGACCTCAATGCAAGACATGGAGTCAAAGGAGACCATTTTGGAACTTTAAGGTTTAATGATTGCCCTACTGGATTTTGGACACACATGGGGCCTATAGCCCCTCTGTTCTGGCCAATTTCTCCCATTTGGAATGGGTGTATTTACCCCATTGTTTCTATTAATAGAAAGTAACTAACTTGCTTTTGATTTTACAGGCTCATAGGCAGAAGGGACTTGCCTTGTCGCAGATGAAACTTTGGACTTGGACTTTTGAGTTAATGCTGAAATGACTTAACACTTTGGAGGACTGTTAGAAGGGCATGATTGTTTCTTAAAATGTGAGGACATAAGATGTGGGATAGGCCGGGGAGGAATGGTATGGTTTGTCTGTGTCCCCACCCAAATCTCCTCTTGAATTATAGTTCCCATAGTCCCCATCTGTCGTGTGAGGGACCTAGTGGGACATAAGTGAATCATGAGGCTGTTACCCTCATGCTGTTCTCGTAATAGTGAATGAGTTCTCACATTCACTAGGTGAGTAGGTCTGATAATTGTATAAGGGGCTTCCCCCTTTCCTCAGCACTCATTTCTCTCTCTTGCTGCCATGTAAAGGACATGTTTCCTTCCCCTTCTACCACAACTGTAAGTTTCTTGAGGCTTCTCCAGCCATGCAGAACTTTGAGTCAATTAAACATCTTTCCTTTATAAATTACCCAGGCTCTGATATGTCCTTACAGCAGCAAAAGAACAGACTAATACTCCAGGAGATGTTTGGGTCATAAGGGTAGATCCCTCATGAATGGAATTAGTGCCCTTATAAAAGAGACCTAAGGGAGTTCTCTCACCACTTCTGCTATGTAAGAACACAGCTATAACACTGGTATCTGTGAACCAGAAAGCAGGCCCTCACCAGATGCTGAGTCTGCCAGCACCTTGATCTTGGACTTGCCAGCCTCCATAACTGTGAAAACAAAAATTCTGTTGTTTAAAAGCCACTTAGTCTATAGTATTCTGTTATACAGTCCAAGCTAAGACAAAACATAAACAAGATATACTATCATTCAACCCAACTGCCTCACAGTTAGAAACATATATTATCTCAATCATGTATTTCAGAATGGTGTATTAATATCAAAGAAACACATTCTTAAACATGTATGCTGGAACATCGTTACAGCAATATCTTCATGTTTCCTCTCAGAGGGTTACAGTTAAAAGCTAAACTGTCTACAATGAGGGACTTCCTAAATCTTCTAGGATAGGTTTAAGATGAACTCTTACATTGAATTTCAAATTATAATGGAGTTCTGGTATTATAATGAACAAATTATTAAAGACTTTTTGTGAGTAATCATTCTCATTAAAGTATAATTGGAGCTGAATACACTGGTTTAATAAAGTATAATCAAGCACTCAAAAAAAAAACACCAATATTCAAATCCCAATTATTTAAATGCAGCCTTAATCAATAACATTATCTGTGTCTACTTAATTTCTTGATACTAGCATCAATCCCAACATACAATATATAAGGTTATTTTTTAAAGAGGAATTGCATATGTGGAAGAGTAGCAAAGTAAAGTTTTATCAACATTTCCCTTGTTCTTTTAAGTTTGCCTTTTGTTTCTTGAAAAAGATTTTCAGATGTGATTCTGACATTTAAAAGTATGATGATTTTTATTTTTATTTACCATATTTTAAAAGAACAGAATCCTAAGTATTTCTCTTATTGCCAAGTAATTTTCCTCTTCTATAAACTGTGTGTGCAAAAAGGGAAGATTCCACTCTACCTGGAAAGAAAACATGTAATATAAGGGAAAATATGGATTTTGGAAATAAACCTTTGTTTCCTAACCAGCCAATGCCATCCTAAATTGGAGACAGCAATGCCTAGGTAACAGAGATGTTGATGTTGCCAGAGGGTGGCTCAAGATTGCCTGAGGTGATGCAGTAAAAACTCCATAACTGTATGTTTGGCACACACTTAGCACCAAGTTTGTTACCTGCCTTCTCTTTCTCCTTTCCCATTCCAAAAATCTGAGCGTGTAAACTCTTTTGCAAATCCTTCAGACACCAAGAGAGTAACAAAACAATCATATATTTAAATTTAGGTTTTATAGATCACAAGTGGTTATCTGAATGTAAAACTGAGCATGCATTTAGTATTACTGCTGCAAGACAAGAGCTAACAGAATAAGAGACCTAATAAAATGTAAAATCATTTAAAATATCTCATCGATTTTAAAAAGTTGGATAAAAATGCTATAAAATTGGCTCAGAAACCAACACTCTAAATATGGCACTTTGACATTCAGAAGAAGCCACAAGGTCTCTCCCATTCCCTCACCCACATCTCTCAATCTTCTGGCTCCCAAAGCACAGAATGAAGTTTTTCTCTTAGTCACTTACCTGCCTAAAGTCCAGATCTGCCAAAAAAGAAAACAATTACTGCTGGTCCCTTCCTTGAGTTTTCATTAACTGAACTCATATTGCAGAGAGGAAGACTGAAGTCTGTGAACAAACCTGGACAGATTTTTGTCAACAACCATTGTCAGTTCTCCAGGACAAATGGACTTTGTCCCAGGCCATTGTATGTTCTTCAAGCCTATTGAATTCCCCTAAAAATCATGTACTGTTTCCTTAAAATCATCCATCCTTCGCCATCTTTTATTCCCCTGGGAAGTAGGCTATATAAGTATTTGTACCCCATTGAGATACTGGGCACTCGCTTGTTGATTCTTTCCTGAGCACCATAATAAATTGTATGTCTTTTCTCCAATTAATCTGTCTTTTGTGAATTGAATTTTCAGCAAATCTCCAGCAGATAAAAGGGAAATTTCCCTTGGCCCCTACATAATATTCACACTTAAATGAAAATTACTGGGCCAGGCACGGTGGTTTACGCCTGTAACCCCAGCACTTTGGGAGGGCGAGGCGGGTGGATCACGAGGTCAAGAGATCGAGACCATCCTGGTCAACATGGTAAAACCCCGTCTCTACTAAAAATACAAAAAATTAGCTGGGC